GTATGCTTTCAATGAATTCTTACATCGTTTGAACATTAGACTTTCTTTGGCAATGAAATTGTATTCATTTTATAATCAGAAACATATTACAAAAAAGTTCTAAAAATTATAGAACAAACCTTCTACACAAGAAATTTTCTCTTTCGACTATTAGGGCCAAGAGGAACGATATCCTATATGTGTTTAAATGAAACAAAAAGTATAGACCATGATGAAAATCATACCAGAAAACTAACATGTGTCCTGGGATGGAGTGTGTGGTCCCATGATGCTGTTCCTTACTGTCCTGCTGGGTAGGGGAGACCCAGTTTAATTTACAGATCCTGATTTTGTTACCTGGAGATTAAGGAAAAATCTCCCCACTCAGTAATCCTTTCAGCTAAAGCCTGACAGGCTGTGATGGGGGAATTCTAACCCAGGGTAGCAGTGATAGTGTATTAAGAGGGGAAAATAAGTAATAGCCTTGGGGGTTTAAACTGCCGCATGTGCTGACGGGAAACCTCAGCCTATTCATTTACTGTGTGTGCCCTGGGAGAAAGGGGAGGAGTTGAGAAACCCCACATCACATTGATGGTCTTTATGACAGGTGGTACAGCTCCGAAAACATATGCTTTTGTTAAAATCACTCTGCATGGAAAAGGAACACCCCAAATGTTAGTATAAAGTGGACAGAACTGTTTGGAAAGTTGGCCCGTCTCTGCTTTGTGTAAGATGCCAGATGCCAAGAGTATGACCTCTGGTTTTGGCAGTTTGGCCAGCAAGTTATCTTCCTTTACATGACTGCAAGATACTGTGGGGGAGAAGGTTTAAATTGGGCCCAACATACAAACATCACTTATGAACTAATTTTGTTTTGTACCAGGGTCTCCCTTTGTAGCCCAGGTGGACTTCCAACTCATTACCCTCCTGCCCCAGCCTCCCTAGTACTGGGCTCACAGACATGCATCAACATTTCTGGCTTGCAATAATGATTCTTAAATATAGCTTTTATATTCTGACTCCTAGGAACAGAACCATGTGGAGCCTTCCCAGCATAGTGCTTTGCACACGGCTTTAAAGCTTGCTAGAACCCAGCCCAGCCCACTTTTCCTGTAAGCAGCCTTCCTTCCTCATCCTTTTGTTCACATAATGACCTATTCTTGTGCCTGAATGTTGGCATATGTTGCTGAGTTTCCTACTGCATTTGTTTTTAATATAGTATGATATGCTATAAAGATCCCTTTACAATCTTTCTCCCCCCTCATAAGGAACACTGTTTAGCATCACGTGCCCTTTGGAAGGATCTTTGGGGAGAGAATATCACTCTGACCAATTTGCTACACAACAACCATGTCTGCTTCTCACAGAAATTACTCTGTGAACTAGAGATAGATCTTGGTTCACTAGCCAGCATGCTGGAGGCCCTGAATTAAGTCTCTAATACTTCACATATACACACAAAGAAATTACTCCCCGTAAGTAGGTATATTTCCACTGTTTTGTGGCTACTAGGAAACTCAGAATAACGTATGGATCACTTTAGTGCTCACTATAACTGGATCTTTTCTTCAGTGTGTATCTTCCTTTGAACTACATCTTCAGCCCTAAAAAGATTTTTACATCACGACTTTATTTGCATCAACTTTTCTTCTGACCTTACTTTACTGTCCTGACCTTTGGGAAGAAGGAGCAGTTGAGGCTAATGGTTTGCTTGTTTTTCACTTTTTTTTACCTTTTATTTTTTTTATAGTGCTGGACATTGAGTCTGGGCCCTTGCACGTGATGGGCAAATGTTTACACTGGTCTGCATGTCTATGTTAAAGATGTTTATTTGTTGTGTGCATGAAGTGTGTGTCCGGGGTGCCTGTGTCATGGCGGACTTGTAGAGGTCCAACCTTGTGGCGTCGGTTTTCTCCTTCCACCTTTGTTACCAGACTTACACAGCCAACAGCTTTACTCTTTTGTCATCTTGCCAACCTCCTACCCATCTTTTCTCTTTTAATTTTTGTTCAATCCATGTGTTAATAAATTGCCTAGGCTATTCCTGAACTCATTCTGTAATCAGGTAGGCTTTGAACTTTCAAACCTCATACCTCAGCTCTCCAGGGGCTTTAGGGATTATAGGCTTTTATGGCCAAGGCTTGACCATTTTTGCCTTTTAAAATAATTAACTCTATACTCTATATAGGGGGATAATACTCCTCCCACTACCTATAGGCTGATAAGTAAAAAACAAAAACAAACAAACAAAAACAGTGCCAAGTGTGAAATATCTCCCCTAAAGTTGTAATAAAGGGGAGCCTTGAGACACTCAGGACAATGCAGGTGGTTGCCATTACTCTTGGTTAAGACTCTACTGCTTAAGACAGCACACACATTGGCCATAGGACTTGGAGAAACCAAGCTGGTACTGACTACACACCTTCTTTCCTGTTGGTTAACTAACATAGTAGGAAAAGGAGCGATGTAGGCTGCTGAGGGCAAAGGCATCAGTAGTCTTGGTATGATCCTGGAATGCTGTAATAAGAAGTGCCCTGGAAAGAACACGCCCATGGGTGTCATAATGGCATGAATGTTATGGATGTAACCAACAATTTTTTTTTTATAGGATTTAGGTCTCCCTCCATTGGAGCAAACCAGTAACTGGTACTGTAAATCCAGCCAAGAACTTGTGGCTAGAAAGCCCAATGACTCCAGATCTAAACTTATTACTATTATTTTGCTACATGGACATAGCATCAAAATGTCTTCTAGGTGCACATCCTTTTACCCATGGATTAGCTAGTATTGTTCTCAGACCTCAGCAGAAAAGCTTCTTTATTCAGTGGGCAACAGTAAATACAGAACTTACAACTGCTGGAAAAACAGAGAAAATATGAACAAGTGGTACTCAGCCATAAATGAAACACTGTATCTCTCCTTCTCTCCTTAAGTCTCAGGGAGCATTGGCAGGAGAGGGCAGTATGATTGTAAGGCTGGAAGAAGATGAGGTAAAACAGCATCCTCTGGACTGACCGGACTGTGCATACAGAGTAGCTGTGGCTGCCCGCACAAGAGTTACATAAGATTAACCTGGTCAGCAGTCCAGCATGGATGGGGAAGGAGCACATGACCACCCCTCAGCTGAGGAGCTATTGACAGTTGGTAGTTGCTAGGGAAGAGAAAGTTAGTTTTCTTCAATGAAGTGATCCCTGGTGGTTTGACCATGTTCCAGTGGACGATTCCATACCACACATATATGAACAGTACAAAAAGATTTCATGAAGTATATGTGTAATATACATTACATAAATATATATTACATATATTGTGCATATCATATACATACTATAATATATAATATACTCATAAATACTTTTGGAAATACACACATACATGCATATATGAAGTTGGGAATGTTGGTGAGTTTTTGGGAGGAGTTGGAGGGCGACATCAAGAGTGAGTGACCAATAGTGTATGTGTAGATGAAATCTTGAAAAATGAACATATTATAATATATGTAATATATGTATGTAGTATATAATATATATATATATATATATATGGTATATAATATATATCTCACAAACCTAGTGAGTTGGTGTACACCTGAAATTGCAGCACTTACTAGACCCAGGCAAGAACACATGAATTTGAGGCCAGCTTGGGCTATGTGACAAGACCCTATCTAATAAGAACACAACAAAACAGAGCACTTGAAAAACAACTCGCGTATTCTTCAGCCATTTTAAATCCTTTTTGGTTTTAGGTGAAAGAAAAATAAAAACTTTAAAATGAATGCCCAACTTTTATGGTATGGTCCCCCCCATCCTAATTTACAAACCAATCCTCAGACCCAGCTTTGCCAGCTGTCCATGCCTTCAGTCCTCACTGGCCTTTTTGATCTCTGGTGTTAATACAACGTTGTACTTTACTAAACAATTTATCCCACTAGTGTTTTATGTGAATTAGTCCTGTTGCCCCGGATTCCTATCCCCCCCCCCAATAGGGACCATGGTCTATATTTTATTTAGTAAACTAATATTTTGTCAAGAAATGTTCTCTTTACACTAGAATGGTAACAAATGATGGTATTTACTTATTTATTTATTTAGGAGGAAGTGGTTGGGACAGAGTTCTCTGTGTAGCCCTGTATGTCCTGGAACTCTCACTAGACAAGAGCTTCACCTGGCTCTTCCTGTCTAGTGCTAGAGTTAAAGGCATGCACCACCATGTCCTGCTAACTATTTAAAAAAAGCACTCAGAACATCTTATTAGGAGTAAAGGAACCCAGTATTGCCAGTAATGACCTAAGCTTGTTCTTTAATCTTCACACTGTTCTGATCAGTTAAAGTGTGTGGTGACCCATGCCTGTACATGCCAGCAGCACTCTGGAGGTGGAGGGAGAAGAATCTGAGGCCAGCCTGGGCTATATAGTGAGTACTAGGCCAGCCTGGATAACATACCAGGTCTCTTCCTCAAAAAGAGGAGCACAAACATTTATTGAACTCTACACAGTATTCTTTCTTTGTTGCTTTCTTTGAGACAGGAGCTCTGTCTCTAGACCAGGCTGGCCTTGAACTCTCAGTGATCCTTCTGCCTCAACCTTCTGAGTGATGGGAGTACAGGCCTAAGCCACCACACACGGCTTGTGTTCTTTGACAAGACATTTACCCTCATAATAACATTGCAGTGCAAAGCCAGTGTCTACAGTAACTTGGGGGTCCGCTTCACACTTCAACGGGTTTTGTCTGTAGTAAAAAAATGTGGGTGAGCCAGGACAGGTCCACACTCAAAAGGACATAATGTGACTGCTAACTACGGTTTGCCCTGGAAACCCACGATTTTAGTAACCCTATCATCTCTGAACAAAGGACCGTTGGTCCCCTGTGCCCTAGGGCCAACTAACCAGGGATAGGAATAGGCAGCCAGCAGCAGTTACTGAACTGCTCACGGCTTCAAGAGAGCAAGGACTACAAATCCCAGCATGCAATGCAACCCTCTAAGAGTCCGTGTGCACTGACGTCTAATACTCGCGCCTTGTTCTGTGACCTGGGTCGGCTGTCGAGAGGGACTGTTGACTCGTTTCCCAGCAGCTGTGTCTTTTATTAGAAGTCCTGCGTCTTAGGGATCCATCTTGCCGGTCCAAGATGGACAAAGTCTGTGCGGTTTTTGGAGGCTCCCGGGGGATCGGCAAGGCTGTAGCCCAGCTAATGGCCCAGAAGGGTTACCGCCTGGCGATCGTCTCCAGAAACCTAGAAGTGGCCAAAGCCACCGCCGGCGAGCTCGGCGGTAGGTACCGGAAGTGTCCCTGCCGCGCGGCCAAGTTGCAAGTCCTTGAGCTCCAGTCCACGGGCCCGGGCTACTGCCCATGTACTCTAGTCTGCGCCCCAGATCGCTCGTGCCCCATGACCGAGCCCTCACTGGGGTTCTTGCCTACCGCAGGCAGATTCTGAGGACCCCTGACAAATAGCGGTCTTCCCCGCCGCCAGTCCTGATATTGAGAGCCGTTTTGCTCCGGCTTCTGGTAGGAGAGAGTGGACACAATTATACTGAAAGTAGAGAAGTCAGATACAAACTGCATTTTGCTGAGAGCCCTTGCCCTTGGCGAAGGCACTCGACAGTATTTCAAAGAGAAACTCCTGATAGGTCAGGGTTGCTTTCTCAAGCCCTTCAATGACTTTAATAAGTTACTGATTTGTTTTCCCAGACCCTTTTTATTGTATTCCAATTCCAGGCCCCCCTCCCCCCGCAGGCTCACTACTGGTTATTAACTGATTAGTCATTACATTGCAAGAAAGTCTCGATTGGAGAAGGCAACATGGAAGAATGGAGAAAAATACATGTCACTATCAGGAAGCACTGGGTCTGAGAGTGTATCTGGTACCTGCTATATTTCTTTTCTTACATGGAAATAGCCTTGATATGTAACATTGACCTTTGAACTTATGATTCTTGTGTCTGAGTGTCTCTATCTCCCTTGCTGAGATGACAGTGACATCTTTAGTACAGAGTACACTTTGAACCTGCAGTGTGGTATCCAGTTCTCCCAAACACAGGGTCTCACTATGCAACCTAGGCCTCCCTTGGATCAGATTCTTGTCTTTGCCTCCTGAGACAAAGAGCTGAGAACACAGGGGAGCACATCTGTTCTCCCTGGGCTTGAACACAAGCCTTAACACCTAGTCAGCACTGCTTCAAGTTTGCTAGATAACTGATACCACCTTGCCCTGTGGTACTAGTTAGTTACCTGTTCTTCGGTTCTCTAACATATAGTTGGTTCATCTTGGTGTATCCCTGTCATAAATTGAGGAGCACATATATTAACACGTTAGCTTATTAAATAGAGAACATTTTCCCTTTGAAGTATAATTTCCTGCATATGGTGATAGGGATCAGGGAGTTCTACTGAGCCACCTCTCTTGCCCACGATGGCCACAAGCTTACAGTGGTAGTTTCCTGTCTCAATGCTGAGACGACAGGTATACACTAGTTACCATGCCCAGATTTTATTGCAGTTTTTAAAATCACATTTATTTATTTGGTTGGGTGGGTACATATATGCCATTGTCCACATGTGGAAGTCAGAGGACAGTCTGTTCTTTCCTTCTACCGTATGAATCGCAAAGGTTCAACCCAGATTGTCAGGCTTGGTGGAAAGTGCCCTTACTCAATGAGCCATCTTGCTGACCCCGACTACTTTTATTTTTAAACTTTCCAAGCATATTTCTTAAGGGTTTGAGGTCTCACCCAGGATAGCCAGGAAATCGTGAGTCCAGCAAGCACCAACATTAGGTGCAAGCCAGGTCCTCATAGTTCTTGTGTCTCAATCTCCCACTCAAGAAAACTCCAAAGTTAAAGTTAGTTTTCGGTGATGTTTTGTTTTATGTACCTACTGTAGCCTAGCATTTGGCAGGACGAGCCTGAGTTTCGAAGTCAGTCCAGGCAGCACAGTAAAACCTTGTCTCAGAGCAACAAAAATAAAAACGAACAACAACAAAAACAAAAAACATACCCCAAAAGAAGGAAGAAACAAAACCTCCTTATCTCTCCTTCTCTTCCACCCACTCTGTCCCTCTCATCAGATGCTCCGTGAGGGCAGGGACCCATGATAGGCTTTCCTCTCTAGGCTCAGCACGGGCTTTCCTTAGAGTCTAGTCATAAAGCAAATAAATCCGAAATTCAAGTTAAGATTTAGAGGTAATTCCAATCTAACTTTGTTTTGTAGGAAACCACTTGGCATTTAGGTGTGATGTTGCCAAAGAACAAGATGTTCAAAGTACATTTGAAGAGATGGAGAAACATTTAGGTCCAGTAAATTTCTTGGTAAATGCAGCTGGTATCAACAGGTTGGTCAAAGATTGAGGTGAATTTCTCATACCTGTTTTTAAAAGATTTTTTTTTTCTTACTATGTTGATGGCTTAGTTTCTTTTCCATTGCTATCACAAAATGCCGTGACCCAAGGCTATATATAAAACAAAGTGTTCAACTGAGGTTATGGTTTCAGAGTGTTAGAGCCATGTTGGTGGAGTAAAGCCACGTGGTAGAAACATTTGGGAACTCATATTGTGATCTGCGTATAGGAGGCAGAGATGGGCACAGTGGGAATGGGGTGGTGTTTTGAAACCTCAGAGCCCACTCTCAGTGACATACCTCCTCCAATAAGGCCATACTCCTAATCCTTCCCAAACCTGGTCCTAAACGGGGGCCAAGTATTCAAATATATGAGCCTGCGGGGACCATTTTCATTCAGAACATAACAATTAGTATGATACAGTATGTTAGACTATTTTATTTCTAACAGGAAAAGCTTATTTTGAAAGCTGTCAACCCATACATTCTTTTATTTAAAAAATGATGTCTGTCTGTCTGTGTGTCTGTCTGTCTGTCTGTCTGTCGAATGTTAGTATGTGCAGATGTGCGTAGATTCCCACAGAGCTTAAAGGGGAACATCAAATCCCCCGGAGCTGGAGATACAGGTGCCTGTGAGCTACTGGATCTGGATGCTTGGAACTGAACTTTGGTCCTCTATAAGATCAGTGTGTGTTCCTAATCAATAAGCCATTTCTTTAGCCTAATCCTTGTAAGTTGAGATTACTGTCCAGTTGGGTCAGTCCTAACAAGCCGTGACCAGCATATCACCTAGCATACCAGAGGACTCCCATAGTCTCTTCTCATAGGAAACCAGTGTTCTGAGTTTTGTTGATCATAACAAGCTTAATACTAATGTATAGAGGATAGTAATGTAATGATAATAGGGGGGGTGTTATTTTTTTTAAAGATGAGTATAGGAGAAAATATTTAGATTTACAGTCCCCAGTCCCATTAAATAAGGCAAAACTGGCAGTAGCTTAAACCATTTGGTTGCTTGCTACTGTGTTTAGCCACTGGCAGTATTTATCAGTCTATCAGAGAGGTGGAGAATCCTGCCTTCCCAGTGGCTCCTTTCTGGATCATCAGCAGCTAGCGTAGTGGTTTTAAAGCCAAGGTCAAAACGGGACTGCCCAGCACCTAGCTAGAAAACACAGCTTGTACTATATTTTAAATCAGAATTGTACATATGTATTGATTTGATTTTTAAAAATTGTGTGTGTGTGCATATGAGTTGCCTGTGGAGTTCTGAAGTGGATGTTTAATACCCTGGAGCTGGAGTTACAGGTGCTTGTGAGCTTTTTGACACAAGTGCTGGGAACTGAGCTCAATTCTCCTCAGAGAGCAGTTGGAACTCTTACCTGCTGATGCAGTCCCCTATCCCCTAGATTTGAGTGTGGACCTGGTTGTTACTGTGCCCACTGTTTCTGTTTTGTAGAGACGGTCTTCTAGTAAGAATGAAAACTGAAGATGTGGTGTCTCAGCTTCACACTAACCTCTTGGGCTCCATGCTGACCTGTAGAGCTGCTATGAAGACAATGATTCAGCAGGGTGGCTCTATTGTTAATGTGGGTGAGTCGTCCCCGTCGCGGGTCATAGTCATTGCATGTAAACATGAGGGCACTTAATCCACTGACGGGCTTGATTGGCAACAAGTGACTGACTAAGTATTAAAATGACAGTAGAAGCCATGTGATAAATGACATCTGTATGGAATGGGAGGGGCTATGGCTGTGCACATCCAGCAGACTGGCTGTACGTGAATCTCATAACAATTTTGTCACCACTTTCAATTTTTAGAAGTCAGGCACCCTCGCCTTTTTATTTATTTACTTTTTTTTTTTTTGGTTAAACCTATAATGGTTATAAGACCCAAAGGGCCAGGTACTGTACTGTGTGATTGTGTTTCCTAGAACTGACTGAGAAGTACAACCATGGTACCTCAACAGTATGGCGGCCTAAACAAGGCGTGGACAATGACAGTAGACATGCTAAGACAGAAGGGAAACTCACAGGATCCTAGAACTACAGGACACTAAGGACTGCTGAGAGCAGGGGAGGTGGCCTTCAGTAGGCATGAGCCCTGTCTTAGGGTCTCCAGTGCTGTGAACAGACATCATGACTAAGGCAATTCTTATAAAGGGGAACATTTAATTAGGGCTGGCTTACAGATTCCGAGGTTTAGTCCATTATCATCAAGGCAGGCAGCATGGCAGTGTCCAGGCAGGCATGGTGCTGGAGGAGCTGAGAATTCTACATCTTGTTCTGAAGGCAAAGAGGAGAAGACTGGCCCACCTGACAATGACACACTTCCTCCAACAAGGCCACGCCTATTTCAACAAGGACACACTTCCTAATAATATCACTTTCTGTGGGCCAGGCATTTAAACACATGAGTCTGTGGGGGCCAAACCTGTTCAAACCACTCTGGTTCCCTAATACGTTATCCTGTTCCAAGTTGTTAGGCCTGATACTATTGCATACAAGCAATACTAAACAGACTCAAGCAGGTTGTATTTGTGTGTGTGTCTATATATATGTAACAATAATAAAAAGAGGCTATGAATCTGAGAGTGTGAGGGGCCAGATAGGAGGGTTGGATTGGAGGAGAAGGAGGTAAAAAAATGATGTCATTTTATTTTTAAAATTGTAAAGGAAACCAATCTAATTTTTGAAATGAAAAAGAAAGCTTGTAGGCATGGAGTCTAACTAACAATTATTTATGGCAATTGCACGGGTCACCGGTCTGTCTAGTGTCAAGGTTTGAGGAACATTAAACCTCAGCTTTTCAGATGGATGTAAGTAGCCTTTAGTTTGTTCGAACCACAGGGAAGAGGTGTTGAAGATTGTTGCCTGTAGAGCAGAAAATGTAGAATAACATGGAGTTTGATTTCTGTTTATTACTTGAAAATTGGAACCTACCACCTGACTTTTAGTCTTAAGTGATGAGCAGTACCTTAAAAGTCTGAGAAAGGGGGACACTCTTCTGTTAAAGGTCCCTCTCAGGAGGAATTGGTGACCTGTGACCCTCTGACACAGCCAGTTCAGGTATTGGGTTCTTAAGACCTGTCACACAGACCTGAGGCTGCCTGGATATCACAGGACATATTTAAAGTATGTTCCTTTTAGATCAGTTTCAGAAACCTAAGTTGGTCCCTTACAATCGTAGAATATTGCTAAGGCTGATGCATTATAGTGAGTGGACATGCTTGCTGGATGGGAAAAGCCTCCAGGTAGGCTGGCCTTGTAGACATGCTGCTAGTTCAGAAGACATTACTTTGACCAAATGTGAACGGAGTGTGCCCGACTGCTGGTTATGAGAGCTTCCTGTTGGACCTGGCTGCCACGTCTGGAACCCCCCTTTTTGTCTTCCTTACTCCCACATACCCCTCTTCCCGCCCACCCCTTTCGTTTACCTGATGGCCTTTCTTTCTTGCTGTGCTACCCAGTTTTCTTCTTCTCTTAACTGAGGTGCCACATTTAGTAATGTGCCATGTGATCCGTCAGTTCCTGGAGGACTGATACACGACAGTGGTTCTGTAGATTATGATGGTGGTGACCCCACCCCAGACCACACACACTGTTTCTACTGTTCTTCTTACTGTTTAGATACACATATGCCCATCACTGTTTGCTGATCTTCTATGCATTCATGTTACATAGGTTTGTAGCTTGGGAACAGTAAGAAATTCTATATTTGGCAGAAAAAGTGGGCATACTGTGAGCCTACCTTACAGTGTATTTCCTGGGAGAAACTACTGTCACCAAGCAATGTTGACTGTACAGTGTAGGTAAACATTTTAACACTGGGCTCCTTGATTATAATATGAAAGTAGAATAATCTCTTTTTCTAATGTAATTTCAATAGTGTGTGTGTATGTGTGGTTCCTGTTCAATTTGTATATAATAAGCACAGACCAGTGGTGCAGAAAATTACTTCCCTACTTCTGTTTTGCAAGCATATATTTGCATACAATTGATATTTGGATTATAAATTATTCTTATATATTTATTAGACAAGTTCACTGAGGAATGTTTAGTTCAAGTACAAGGTGCGTATAAACAAAAGTAACAGAATTGCACTGTTAGGAAGTTTGCATGGTCAATTTTGATTGACAGTAGTTTAAAGTCACAGGATTTGTTCTTCTTATAGGTAGAAGTGAATACTTATTCCCATCTGTGACAGAATTATAGAATGAACCAGCCTTTATTTTACATCTTCTGGCTTTAACTTATTTCTGTTTGTGTTTGTTACTTTTCTGTTGCTGTGATAAAACACCATGCCCGAGACAACTTCTAGACGACAAGTTTTTTGGCTTACAGTCCCTGAGGGATACAAGTCTTTCGTGGTAGGGAGGCAAACAGCAGGCAAGGTGACAGAAACAGGAGGCTGAGAGGTGACATCTTAACCACAAGCACGAAGTGGAGAGGGAACTGGAAGTCGGGTGAAGCCATACTCCTCACATATTCCTAGCAAAGCCACACCTCCTAAAACTGCCCAGGCAGCAACTGGGGGCTAAGTGTTCACATGACAAATCACACAAGCCTGTCTCCCATTCCTGGTGGTTTGATACCGTTTTTCTTCAGTTTCTCTTTGCTGTGTGTGTCTGGGTTGTCTGTCAAAGGCTCGTGGTTAGAGTTACGCATTTTAGCAAAGAATGAAAGGAGGCGGGTCTTCCTTCCTGATTTGATGGCTGTAAAGGATATGAATTGAATTGTCAGATAACGAACCGATTGGCTTGCACTTGGTTTCTTCTTCTTTTTTCCTGCAGGGAGTATCATTGGTTTGAAAGGCAACGTGGGCCAGTCCGCATACGGCGCCAGCAAAGGAGGGCTTGTTGGGTTTTCACGTTCGCTTGCTAAAGAGGTTGCACGGAAGAAAGTCAGAGTGAATGTGGTTGCGCCAGGTCAGTGGACGCTTCATACAATAACTGTAGTATGATTAACTGATATTAAGAAAGGCCACTAACTTACCGGTTAATTGGTTAATTGGCAGTCATTAATTGACATTTGACTAGTGTCTCTCTAAAATCATTGTCGAAAGAAATAATTAGTGACTAAAAAAGCTTCCTTGTTCCTTTTGCCTTATATAAAAATCTTTATTTTAAAATTTTCACCAGTTAAGGAATAAATTCTGGAAAGAAAACCTTGGAGATCACCTTGTGTTTTGAGACAGGGTCTTTACCATGCACTGTAGTATTGGAATTGCAGTCCTACTCTACCATGCCTGGCTTACTTCAGCCACAGTGACAATTTAGAAAATTGTGAATAAGGGTTTGATGTTATTTACCAAAGCTACCTGGCTATTTCATGGAAAGCTGAAAAAAAAATACACTTCTCAAGGTTTCCTTTTGAATCATAAAATTGATGTCTTTTTATCCTTTAGTTTCCTATTTATTTATATATTTATTTACTTATTCCCCCTCTTTTGTTTACTTGTATATTATTTGCTATTTTCTAATAAAAAGATGTCAAAATCCAGATAAAAGATGTCAAAATTCAGATAAAAGATGTCAAAATTCAGGTACGTTTGTCATTTATTAGTCAGTTGGCCTGTTAGAAATTTTTTATGTATTTACTTGACTTCCCAACAGAATGAATGTTTTTTATACTTTTGTAAGTCAGAATAGGATCTTTTCTATACTTACGTATTCATTTATTTGTGTGTGTATCTGTATACTTTTGTGTGGGTACACACTACTCCACATGTAGTTATCAGAGGATAGCTTGCAGGAATGGGTTTTGTCCTTGCAGCATGTGGGTTCCATGGATCAAACTCAGGTCACCAGGCTTGATGGCAGGTGTCTTTCCCTGCTAAGCCATCTTGTTGGGCCCAGATAGTCTATCTTTGTTCTGCAGTTTTACATACTTAAGAAGTAATCCTCATAGCCACTGAAATAGCCCAGATGGGAGAGCGTTAGACTGAAGAATTAATCCCCATGTAAAGTTTGCTTCTGTGACTGACTGCAGTCTGTAGGAGAGTGGGCTGCAGCTGATCTTGCCACCTTTCACCTTTAACTCCCTCATGGCTCCAGCTGGACCTGAGAGTTGGCACTCGTGAGCCAGCAGATGGTTTTCAGGATGTTCTGTGAATCTATTTGCTGTATAACATACTTTCCCTCTAGTTCCTCCTTTAGTCGAAGACTAGCTAAGTCCAGACATTCCAAATCCATGAGTATTGAGTAAGTTTTACAGCTTAGATGACTACTTTTGAAGGAAAAAGGAAAAGGGCCTCAAATCAAAGCTTTCCATGAAAAGCTTCATTCTCACTCATTACCTAGGCCTGGCTTTCTGTTTCTGTGTGCTCTGTGCAGGCTGTCACTATTGGTGTTGGCTGAGCTAGCCATCCGTGGGGTTGTTTATTTGTTGTTTGGAAGGGCATGGACTTGCCCTCTCTTTCTTCAGGATTCCAGTGGGTAAGGAGGAGTTAATTGTATGTTTTGGTGATATAATAGCTGACTGGCTTAGAAGAGGCTCATCTTCCCAATTCACATGCACACATGCAGTGAATGTCCTAAGGTGCCTTCCTCTATGCCCAGGCTGTGCTAGGTCCAGGAGTAAAAAAATAATAAATAAATGAGGTATCTCAGTTACAAGCTACAGAAACAGTTGGAAGGAGCACTGCAGTGTCATGCTGAAGGTGATCGTGATGTGTACCATGTTAGGAAGCTGCTGAAGCCGTTCAGCATGGATTAGTTGCCAAGGCAATGGCATGAGTTCTGGGAATCCAGCCTCCATACAAAGGAGACATTTGAAAGGGGTTACGGAAGTGCTGTAGACCCTTTTGTAAAGTTCATATTTTCCCTGTGCAATTCATATTGGGGATAAAAATCTGTCGCTAGAAAGTGACCACCAGTAGGGTAGCCTTTGTAATACTATATTGTATATAAGATTTATATGCACACACAGACACAGACACACACTCACATACACACATCTTGTTTCATAGTACATATTGAAATAACAAGATTAAATCAATTATATAAGTTACCTGTTGATATTAAGATCTATCAGCTTCTTGATTAGATCTTTAAATAGAGCTAGCAAGTGTACACCTCATGGTGTACTTTCTGTGTACTAACACCTGAAGTGCAGTCATTCGTTTCTCCAGTGTATTTTTTGAGACCAGGCCTCTCACTAAACCTGAAGCTCTGAAGCTTACTGTTTGAGCTAGACTGGACGAGACCAGTGAGACCTTGTGATCTGTTTGTCTTCCTTGGGTCTCCAGCACTGGTCCCTTTGTGCTGCCATGCCTGGCTTTGATGTGGGTCCAGGAAATTCAGACTGTGGGCTTCATGCTGCTATAGTAAGTGCTTTACACACAGAACCGACTTTCCAGCCCTTGGACCTCTAGTTTGTTTCTTTTTATGTCAAGTTTTCCTGATTAGCTTCAAGTGGAGGTTCTAAATAACAGAAAAACAGTTGAAAAGCCAATTGTAGCCTGAACACCAGGAAACAAGGCAAATAATGATTAGACTGTCACTCCATTCTAAATCTTTGACTGTTCTGCTAAGCATTGGTATTTTCGACTTGGCATATAAAGTTGTCATTGTGGATGAATCTTCCTAATTGAAAATCTTTGTCAAAAGTGAATCAATAGAATGTCCTTTCTTCAGAGTTTATAATATAAAAATTCTCATGGCTTTTAGGAGCCAAAGCATCCCAGACTAAAGAGTCTACATTTTAATGATGGGCTTTGAGGTATGGCCTAGTTCTAGAGCATTTGGCCAGCAAGCACTAGGCCCCAAGCTTCATCCTAGACATCCTCCTCCTACGTGTTGGGTTGTCATTGTATGTCTGGTAACGAAGTGTAGTATCTTTGTTCTCAGTGCTAGAGTGCATGTTGTTTCACTCACTGCCTTTGATCTAAGGAAGGGTGGCTTTGTAGCCAGTTGAAAATCTCTGAGTGTCCAGTGAAGTAATGCAGTAGCATTCTCTGTTGGACAGTGGCACCTACTGGTAGTTTATAGCTTTTATAGCCATTTCAAGTCTTTATAATACATGAATCATGAAAGTAGAGTAGAACAGACTTTCTAGAACTTTACAAATATGAAGAATGATACAGGAGAGAGTCTTTTAGGACCAAGGAAAAAAAGACAAGCATCGAGATAGGTGTGTGAGATGTTTGGGGACCGTTAATATCTACTCTCAGCTCTGGGATGTAAGGGGTGGAGGGTAAGAAATTGTACTATTAATGTATAGTGCATTGGGCTCTGAGTATATTTCTAAGTGAAGATTACATGATTCATGAGCTTCAGCACAAGATAACATTGGCATTTCGTACAGCTCCGAGCAATTTATCATAAGAGGCAAGCTTAACGTTTCTGAGTCAATTTCTGATGAACTGGAACAGATCTCTGAGAAGCTGCAGATGGAGTAGTTCAGAACAACATATTGTAACAGTGGATAACATGACAGCCGCACTTGGTAAGACCTATACACAGAGCTAAAGGAGGACCCGGCTCTTGTGCTCCATGGACTATACCCAGTGATGTGTCAACAGTGTTCACTCACAGCACGTAACCCACACCAAGGCAGGATGCTAGTAACGGGGGAATGGAGGGAGCAAGGGGCGATGGTAGTATGGTCAGCATAGGCACATTTGTTCAATAGTTCTGTAAATCTACAACACATTAAACATAAAGTCCACTAATTAAAAAGACACTGCTGATCAAAGAGAAGGATCTTCAAGAATATGTTTGTTTTTCCACATTAAACAAAATCTAAGAGGAAAAACTAGCGTATCGGGGCAAATTCTTTCCTTTCTTAAAAATTTATTATTATTTGTGCCACCTGTTCACATGGTCAAGGAAGTGAGAGGACATGAAGGAACCTGTCCTCTCCACCCACCTTTGCATGTGTTCTGGGATTGAACTTAGGTCATCCAGCAAGTGTCTTTATCTACTGAGTCGTCCCATCAACCCATTCCCTCCTTTTCAACATGGTCTGGAGAGAGGCTGTGGTAAGGCTATGGTAATTCCCTCTGACAACTGACATCCTTACTTTCCCAACTGGAGCTGTGGAGGACCCTCTTTGTGTGTAGTGAATGGCTGCACACCTATTTGTAAATAAGACGTGTAAGAAATGAGGGCGTTTTCCAGGGAGCTCTGCTTCCTAGTCTTCCAGTAGAGTCAGAGTCATGATGCTTTCTTATTCAAAAGCCAACCATGTACAGCTGGTTTACCTCAGAGGACCTGCCAGCTTGATCTGTCTGTTCATCTTGTGACACACAGACAACCCTGTATTAGTACAGAGTGTCTGTCTGTCACAGCTTTAGCGCATCAGAGAGCAGGGCCCAGCATCTTGATTCATGAACCTGCATCTAGGTCTCCCCACCACAACAAGCAGCAGAGCCAGCTGGAAGGAGCCTGAAAGTCGCTAACCTATACTGACAAGAGCATTCATAAACCATGACTACTAGAGGTTCTCATGACTCATTTTTTAATGTTTTTCTTTAATTAAAATATATCACTTTTCTGCTTAGTTTATGGAGTTAGTGTGAAACCCTTTATGTCAGTTTCGTTCAAATTCTAAAGAGTAAAAGGCAGTTGTATCATGAATTCTTTGATTTTTTTTTCTTTTGTAAGTTAAAAATATTTTTGAGGATATCCATGAATACTGTGTTTGCCTCATTTCTATCTCCCTGCCCAACTCCTCCTGTTTCTCCCTCTACTCCCTCTTGAATTAACGATCTCTTCCTCAGTTATTATTTTGGACAGGTACATGTGTTGTGCATGTACAGCAGCCTGCTGAGTCCTTTCCTTGTATGTGCTTTTGGTTAGGGCTGACTGCGTGGCATTGGGTCACCTGTCACAGCTCGTCCCTGGAGGAGACTGATTCTCCTCAGCAGCCTTTAATTGCTCGTAACTCTTCATCTCTGATTCAGGCCTTGTGAATCCCCCATCCATGCTGCTGGGTCACTGGGTGATCATAGTATTGAGATTTCATGGGTACAGCTTCCCCATCATATGCAGAGAGAGCCTATTTTACAGCAGTTACTCTGGTCCTCTGACTACAGCCTTTCTAAGTCTCTTCTGCTGTGTTCCCTGAGCCTTAGGCTAGGGATTGTAACATGAAGTTTTTAGTATTAACATTAATTATTTTATTTCACTCAACTTTTATAACCTGAAGTGATTATAGGGTTTGTTCTTTCTGGGGCATCCTTGAAAAAACATTTGCTAACACACAACGTTGGATTTCATTGAACCTATGGGTTTTTGAGAGAATTGGGATCTTCTAGATTCTGGCTTCTCACTGAAAACCAAGCTTCGTCTTTGGACCAGATATTGGGGGACACTCCTTTAGTCCCAGCACCCAGAGGCAGAGGCAGGTGGAGCTCTGTGACAAGCCTTGACTACATATGGAGTTCCAGGCTAGCCAGGGCTACACAGTGAGTGAGACCCTTTCTCATAATAGCAGGTTTGCTCATGGCTTGAAAGTCTGCAGAGGTATTTTGTGTGTGTCAGCTGCTGCCTTCATCCCTTCCTGCCCACTCTGTATGTAAAGATGAAAGGAAATGTTGCTGACTTCTCAAATACATGTGCTCAGACTTTTGTGGCAAAGGGGGTTATGTTTCACAGTATAGTCTCACAGGCACTACACAATTAATCTTGTTATTTCTGACCCTTCTTATAGATTGTCTGTAACTCATAATGCTCATATTTTTTTCAATAATTTTATGAGCAAACACACACATACACAGCTTAAAAGGAGAAAAGGACAAAGAAAATCATCACCTGGTATATAATTCTTGTGACTACTGTCACTTGTCACTCTGATGTCCAGAGAGAATCAGATGTTACCACTTTGGAATGTATATTTTGCCTTGTCTTCAATAGTGATATAATGGAATTCACTTCTCACCTGCTTTTAAGATTACAGATGTGAAATCTTCATTCATGATCGTAGTACCGAATATTGTTCTATGCTGTAGATGTGCCAGGTCTTAACTCATTCCTTGTTGAAAGACCTTTCAGTTGGTTTCCAGATTTCCCCAGTAACCTCTCACTATCTTAGGTTTTATGGTACAAAAAAAACCTACAGTGATTTTTCACAGGGCTTTAAAGAAAACCTTTGAGTTTTCATAAATGAAAATACAAAGTAAATTACGTAGTATTACATAATAAATGAGCAGCTGAATCCAGTATTTAGCTTACATTTATCTCACATTTATCAATATGTCATTTGTAAATGGCAGGATATTTAAGCTGATTTATAGTTTAATTTATAAGAGAGTTAGTTTTAACATCAACCTACTATTTTTGTGAGTGCACATGGAGCCTTCACTTGCTGTGGCTTGTCTGACTTTAAGTCCACCTTTTATAACCTTGAACTATAAACTTTCCCCTTGCCTGCTGCTCTCATGAAAGTTAGTGTTTGATTTCTTATAAAACCTAGTGACTGGAGCTGGGCATGGTAGCATATGCCTTCAATCCTAGCATTCAAGAGGTAGAACAGGTGGATTTATTTGAGTTTTAGGCTAGCCTGGTCTTCATGGTAAGACCGTGTCTCAAAAAAGTTTTAGGATTAATCAATGAATAAGAAATGTCTGAGACTATTCTTGTAGTTGTTTCATAAAGTTGTAGTTGATCCTGGTGTGTGTGTGTGTGTGTTTGTATGCATGTGTATATATACATACAATAATTTGAATTCTGAATATATATAATACTTGATACTGTAGAACTTATTTTAGAACATGCTATCTGCATACTCTATTGTATATACAAATACTGAGTAAAAACTTAATCTTTTGTGTACATTTGTATCCAGATTAGATATGACCATAGGAATTTTTTCTTATCTGGACTTTGGAGTCTTGGGATCTCCCCTTAGCAGTTATTGTGATGGAATGGTCTAATCTTTAGTATTGCACAATCAGTTCATGGGCCCATCTTTGTGATACCTTCTCTCAGTACTGTTTCTTCCTTTCTGCCCCAACTGTGTGTGCCCCAATCATTTCTCTGTCATTTTATCTATAGAATTATAAGTGGATTCACTAGACTTCATTATATTACAGTTGGGTATGTGGGAATTACTTCCTCCCTCCATAGATTTTAGTTATGCAAAGAATCCATTGTGTGTCATTCATGTTTGTACCTGCCCGTTATATCCAACAGCGTTGTCTTTACGTTTGCCAAGAGCTGAGCCATGGACTTGGGAGTCAGACATTTTTTTATTGAATAAACATTCACTGAGTTAAAGTGTTTAAATTGTACACTTAAGTAATTGCTAACAGTACTCTGTAGTTCCTAAACAGTGTTTATTAATAATGTCAAATTTGCAGAAGCAAATTCTCTTTATAAGAGTTGAACAACCATTTTTAGTGTTTATACTTTTCAACCGAATTAACATTTCTCTTTTAGGATTTATTCGCACAGATATGACAAAACACTTGAAAGAAGAACATTTCAAGAAAAACATCCCTCTTGGGAGGTTTGGAGAAGCTCTTGAGGTGGCACATGCCGTTGTGTTTCTTTTAGAGTCACCGTACGTCACCGGACATGTTCTTATCGTGGATGGAGGATTACAGCTCACCGTCTAATTAGAGAGGATGCTATTGTAATGGAGATTTGGGTCAAGCACACATTCTCCTATTACTTAGACAATCATATCTATATGGGTGACATTTGCTAATGGAAACAAATTAGCTAATGGATGCTACAAATGATTCCATCTTTGTATGAACATGTCTCAAAAAACAAAGTGTGACCAGTTGTGTTCTAAAGGGTGTGAATTCTCTGTCTTTAGGGGCCGTGGACATTTTGTAAGGGTTATTGTGATACACCTGTATCAAGCTGGATGTTAAAGACTTCTAGACGGTTGCTAAAATAAGAGTATTTATAGTAGATTGAAGTACATTTTTTTATTGTTACTTTTCTTTTGCTGTGTTAAAACACTATGACCAAAAGCAACATAGAGGAGAAAGGGGTCTCTTTTGAGGCTTGTGGTTCCAGATGGTAGAGGCCATCATGGCAGGGAAGACAGGGCAGCAGTCGGGAAAGCATGGCGCTAGGAGCAGAAGCTTGCTGGCCACATTTCATCCACACACCAGGAGCAGAGAGAGGGAACAAGAAGTGGAGCCAGGATGTAAAATCTCAAAGCCCACCCCCAGTGACATCCTTCCCCCAGCAAGGCTCCACCTAATGGATCTTTATCGTCTCCAAACAGTGCCACCAACCAGGGACTAGGTATTGACACAGGAATCTATAAGGACATTTCACATTCAATCCCCCATATTACTTGAGCAGACTTGCTGAAGGTTACCTTTTGTTTGGTTTGTTTTGCATTTTGAGGCTATATTTTACTATACCTTCTGCGTAATATTGTATCTGCATGTGCATAGGCAATCATTTATTTAATACATGTTGGAAAAATGTCAATTAGAGAAAGGTATTCGTTTAGAGAAGATTTCTCTTTCCATTGCCCCTCACCTACCCTGTCTCGCGCCCCTCCCCCTCCCATCACCTCTCTACCTTACTACCTCCACTTCTTCATCTTCTTTCTGAGCCAGGATGTCACTCTGGAGCCCTGGATGGATGCCCTGAACTTACTATGTATCCCCTGCTTGCCTTGAACTCACAACAGTCCTTCTGCCTTAATGTCCCAAATGCTGAGGTTGTAGGTGTGAGCCATCAATACTTGCCTTATACTCAACTATGAGTGTGTGTGTGTGTGTGTGTGTGTGTGTGATATATGCGTGCATGTATGTGTGGGGTTTGTATGTGTGTGTGTGATGTATATGCATGCATGTATGTGTGGGATTTGTGTGTGTGTGGTGTATGTGTGTGTGATTGTGTGCGCGCACGCGTGAGTGTGTGATATATATGTATGCATGTATGTATAGGGTTTGTATGTGTATGGTGTATGTGTGTGTGTGGGGACGTGTATGGTGCATACATGTGAATGTGCAGGCATGCGAGCACATGCCTTTAGTGGCCAGAGGAGGGTGAGGGTATTGGTATCTTTCCTCCTTATTGACTTGAGGCGGGCTGTCAGTGAACCAGAGGCTTACTATTTTGTCTAGGATGGCTAGCCAGTGACCTCTTGGGATCTTCCCAGCTCTGCCCCTCAGTACTGGAGTTACAGGCATGCATGGACATGCCCAGCATTTTACAGGGATGCTGGGGATACATGGCAAGTACTACTATCTATTCAGCCATCTCTACAGTCAAGTCCTGTTTTCTTAGAATGATGCTGCTGTTCTCAGAGCTGCTCAGCAAAAATAATCTGCTAATTTAAGTGTGGCACAATTGACTTTGTATACAGGAGTTCTTGGGGATTGTGGCTGTACTTTTGCTGCTTTGTGGGGTTTTTCTTTCTTCCACCCTTATCCACCCTTTCAGTCCCCTAACACTAGGGAGGAGAGAAAGAAATCCCTGATCTAATTCTTTTCTTTCTGTTTTATTTCTTTGACCACAACTACTATCAAACAGCAGCCAACCCTCCCAAATGACCAACAACAACCAACAGCATCCAACCAGCAACCACCTCTTCTCAGGGCCATAGCATTTATATACTCCCTGATAAGTCCCCAGAATTACAAAAGTCACACAGTAGCAGAAAGTATCGGGAGCTGGCAGAATCATGTCCCTGCTAGAGCACGAGGCAAATCACAGTCATCTGCAGTGGACAGTTTGAAGCAGCCCAATATCTCACACCTGGGATTAAAACAAAACATATTCTTATATGTCTGTGTTTTTCAAAGCAACCAAAATTCTCTAGGGAACGATGTGTTGAGTCCTTAAGGTACCTGCCGTAGTTATTAGCCACACTGATCTTGAGCTTAGAGAATGTTTTCCCCTCACGAAAACCTTAGTATAGCTAGCTATTTAAGAACCATATGAAGAACTGGGTGTGGTACAGCATGCCTTGTAATCCTGGCACTCAAAAAGCTGAGTCAGGATGGCCAAGAGTTCAAGGTCAGCCTAGTCTACATAGTTCTGGTCAGTTTGGTCAACTCAGGGAGATCTTGTCTCAAATCAAGGTGCAAAAACTAAGAAATATAAAACTACAGTCAGATGTGGTTGCATATGCTTTTAATCCCAGCCCTCGGGTGGCAGAGGCAGGTAGACCTGTGAGAGTTCATTCTATGCTTGTTCACAGACTAAGTTCCAGGCCAGCTAGGACGACTACATAGTGAGATCCTGTCTCCAAAACAAAACAAAACAAAACAAAACAACACACACACACACACACACACACACACACATACACACACATAAATAATTAAGAATAATTTATGTTAGTGGATATAATGATTCAGCCCCAAATCTTAGAATGATAATGAATAATTACAGTTAATCAAAAAATGTATAGTAACAGTAACCATGGATTTTTGTTTCACAAGAAGTGTGTGGGTTTTGTGTGTGTGTGTGTGTTTTCTTGTTTTTTTGTTTTGTTTCAATTTTTTGTGGTGCTGGATCAAGGCCAGGCCTCCAGCCAGATGCCAGACAAGTGTATTACCACTGAGCTTCCTCAGCCTGGAGCACTGGTCTTAGAAAAGAGCATTTGCTTGAGAATAGAGATGAAGACACCTAACTGACTGCAAACATAGATAGAATTTCTTTTGGCTTGAACTTTTATGGAGAATAATAGAATATTTCTATATTCTGGATTCATGCTGTCTTTATTTACCATTATTGAAATGTTCTTAATATTTCATTTTTAAAAAGTAATGTTTTGGCCAGGTGCTGGTGAGACACACCTTTTATTTCAGCACTTGGGAAACAGAAGCAGGTGAATCTCTGAGTTGAGGACAGCCAAAGCTGCACAGAGAAACCATCTCTCCAAAAACAAACAAATAAACAAAAAAAGTGCCTATAATCTCAGATACTTGAGCAGCTGAGGAAGAACAGATCAAATTCAAGGACACCCTGTGTTAGACTTCGGCGTGCAGCTTAGAACAGACAACACCAGACCAAATGGTTCCAAAGGGGAGGGGGCTATTCAGGGCAAAGGGCAACGGTGGGGGGAGAGAAACAGAAGAAGATGGTGGAGAAAGAGGAGAAGTAGAGGCTGGCCATGACCACGTGGAGAGAGGGGGAAGGGAAGGGAGGAAGGGTGAGGGGACAGAGAGAAGCTAGAGGCAAGAGAGTAAGAGAGAGAGGAGGAGGCAAGCAGCCCCTTTTATAGTGGGCAGGCCTACCTGGCTGTTGCCAAGTAACTGTGGGGAGGAGCATACCTGGGTGTTGCCAGATAACTGTGGAGGTGGAGTTTAGACAGAATACTAACGCCCTAGGTTACTTAGTTCAAGGTCAGCCTGGGAAAGTTAGCAAGACTTTTTCAAAATAATAGTAAATTTTAAAATGGACTGGTGATGTGGTAGAGTGCTTGCCAAGCATAAACAAGGGCCCAGGTTCAATCCTTAGCACTTCAGACTCGAACAGAACAAAACTCAGTGTGTCCAGGAATCATCTAAGTGTAGTTTTGAAACAGGACATTATCTAAGTGGGGATTTAATTATATATTGAAGGTCAATTCAAACATATGAGTAAGCTGCACTAATACATCTAGAATAAGTGTTAATAAATCAAAAGCTATGTACTAAATATGGAGCCCTTTATCTCTGACCCACTTCTTTCTTTACTTAGTTTATTAGCATTCTGTTTTTCAGTACTGGGGTTGAACTCTGGGCATTGGGCCTGCCTACTGAGTCAGTGCTGTACACATGGTTCCTTGTGCAGCATGATTCAGGATGAGAACATGTACCATGAGTGCAATTTGTACTACAGAAGGAGTGGTCTGCTAAGTGCAAGGCATGGTGACTGGGGAATGTTTAGGTGTTAGGAGATGCAGCATGCAGGATATTTCACAGGGAATTTGTCTGGGTAGGTGAGTTTATACCTAGAGAGTAGGTGGCTTCCTTAGGCTCTGACCCACTCAAATTTGGCCACCCACACATGTGCAGATTTGAGTTCTCTTTGCTGGACACACCATGTTCTAGAGCCATCAGTGAATCTAGTTTGTTGTGTAATCAATAGGGAAGCAATGAGAAAGGAGAAAGGAGTCAGGTATGGTGGCATTCAGCTGTAGTCCTCACAGTTGGGATTAAGGGTATAGGAGGTCAAGATATTATCAACTACATAGTGAGATTAAGACTATCCTGGGCTACATGAGCAAAAGCTCAAAACAACAATGAAGATTATGTTCCAATAGGATTGTCCTTAAGTGTATATGTTCACACTTTAAACTGTGCCCCCCATCTATCTCAGACTGAAACCTGTGGAGAGTCCTTAAGTGTATATGTTCACACTTTAAACTGTGCCCCCTGCCCCATCTATCTCAGACTGAAACCTGTGGAGAGCTGTGGAAAGGTAAAATAATCTGTCACGGTTCCACTCCCTGCTCTTGGAGCCTCCCCTTGAGATGGATCCCAATTTGGGCCTGTCATTGAACCTCTTTTTTCTCAGGCTCTTCTCCATTTTTGTCCCTGCAGTTCTTTCAGGCAGGAATAATTCTGGGTCAGAGTTTTTGACTGTGGGATGGCAATCCCATCCCTCCACTTGATTCTAGAGGGTCCCCCCCCCATCTCCTACCTCCCAAGGTTGCCCTTTTCCATTCACCAATCAGAATGGCTAAGACCAAAAACTCAGGTGACAGTACATGTTGGTGAGGATGTGGGGAAAGAGGAACTCTCCTACATTGCTGGTGGGATTGCATGCAGTATATTTTAATCATATTCTTTCCCTTCCCCCAACTCCTTCCAGATCCTCACCCATCTCTCTACCTACACAACTTTGTGTTTTTTCCCTTCCATAAAACAAACAAACGAACCTGAAACCACCACCAACAAAAACACATGGATCCTAGTTTGTGCTGCATAGCTACACGAGCATTGAGCATGCCATGTCATCCAGTTGATATGTCTAGTGTTACTCTATCAAAGAAAACTGATTTTCTTTTCCCAGAAGCTATCAATTACGAATAACTTCTTGGCTAGGGATTGGATTTTGTCTGGCTTGTGCAGGTCATGGGTATGTTGTCAGTGTCTGTGAGTTCATACGTACATCTTCCCTCTTGTGTCTAGCCAATGCTGTCTCCTAGAAGTCATTCACCACCTCTGGTTCTTACAGTCTTTCCTGAGCCTTAAGCCCAGGGGCATGATGTAGACTTCCCAATGTAGAGTGAAACATTCCGTAGTCATGTATTTCACATGTTGATCAGTTGTTGGGTTTTGTGTTAATCACCATCTACAGCAGGAAACTTCTCTGATGAGAACTGAAGAATGCACTGATCTATGGGACAGCAGTATGTCAATCAGGAGTCCTTTTATTCACATGCTTGTTTAGCTCAGTGTGCCTCAGCCTTCATAATGCTATGACTTTAATATAGTTCCTCATGTTGTGGTGACCCCTAATGATGAAATATTTCCATTAACATGTCAAAACTGTAATTTTGCTACCATTATGAATCATAACGTAAATATTTTTGTTGATAGAGGTTAGCCAAAGTGTAGGGGGAGTTTCCTTAATTGTTTGATTGGCTGAATAAAGACAGTAGAAGCTAATCATTGGGTGAAGATATGGAGGTGAGTTTTCCAGGTCCTAGAGAGGAAGAGGAGGACAAGATATAGAAAAGACCTTTTGGGCCAGGTGGAGGAGAGAGGATGGGCACCATGTAGCCTGGCTAGCTTAGGTTAGACCTGGTGGCAGCTTCTGGCCCTGAAAGAATTCCAACATAAACTAGCTGATGAATTTTAGACAATAGATTCTGATCCCAATGGTTGTGACATCTGACTGATTTTAAATATTAAGATTGTCTGATGTTTTCCATTCTTGACAATTCAGGAGGGCAGGAGAGAGGGCACAGGTTCAGGGCAGTCTCAGCTGTGGGAGCTGGGTGAGATGGCTGTTGCACTGGGCAAGGAACAAATGGAAACCTGAGCAGCTTGGCAAAGCTAGCTATAGTGGCTGGGTGAGACTGCCATTGCCGGCACCTAGAAGGAGCAAGTGTGGATTTTTTAATATTACACGCAACCCACAAGTTGAGAACCACCGATTTAGCAAAATGATGGTAGTAGACTTCCCCCTAAGTCCCATGGTTTATTTAGCTCAAAGTGGTTTTGCCTTGTGGACAGTGTCATGTATGGGTTCCAGTTCACAGAGTAGGCCTTAAAGCCATTTTAAAAAACATGTTTGGTTACCCCTATAACATTAGTGCTGCTGCTGCTTCAGTGGGCAGATCTTGGAGGCAGTTCACTTAATTTGGAAGGGACTGGGAAATCAACTCGCCTCAGAAGATGGCTTTTGAGCCACAATCAGTCATGGAAGACTTGAGAAACCCAGATTTCTATTTTTTTAACACTTACATATTTATTATTTATATATTTATTATTTGTTTATTATTTATTATTTATACAGGTCAGAGACAATTTGTGGGAGTTAGTTTTCTTCTTCTACCATGTAGATCCCAGAGATCTCAGGTCATTAGGCTTAGTGGCAGGTGTCTGTCTACCTGCTGAACCGTCTGGCATCAAAATTCAGATTTCTGACTCAGAAGAGTTTGGCAGCACTTGAGAATTTGCATTTCTAGCAAGTTCCCAATGGCCAGTCTAGAGAGAACTATGCTAAGACCTGATCTACAGGTTTCTCAAAAGAAGGAATTAGGTAAATGCCCATCATTTATACTATAGTGAGAAACTCTCTAATTAGATGAACTTTCAACATAAAGAATAGATCTGAGGATGTGAAAACAAAATGCCAGGCAATGCAGGAGAAATCCCAGGGGTCATATGCCTTGAACAGCACAGGGTTGTAATTGGTGCTTCTGGTTTTATTTGCTTGCTCAGCTTTTTTAAGAGTTAATAATCAGACAGTTGTCCTACACACCTCTCTTATACAATCAAGGCTGAATCTCAGTGCTACTCGGAAGAGATTGGTTTTCTCCTTTATGTGTGTGTATGGTGTATCCATGATGTGTGTACACTTGCTGATGCAGGTACGTGTGGAGACCAGAGGATGACATCAAGATACCTTCCTCACTCGCTCTCCTCCTTATTTTGTGAGACAAGAATTCTCCTCTGAATCCAGAGTTTGCTGTTGTGATTAGCCTGGCTGGCCAGTGACCCCCAGGAATCTGGCTCCTCAGCACAGAGAGCACAGGCATAGTCATTATCAGTTTTTTAGGGAGGTGCTGGGCATATGAAGTCTTCATTTGTATGCAGCCAACACTTTACCCAGAGAGCCACCTTACTATATCCCCTGAAAGGGATTTTGAAAATACAATTAAGTTCCTAAGACAAGTGCTTTCTGGAAAGGAAATTGTCTGAGTGGGCCTAATTTATTCAGGTATTTCTTTAAAGGGGACTGGACCCTTCCATAGCAAAAGAGAGTCCAAGAATGAGAAGGTCTGGCATGGAGGAAATTCTCAAGTCTGGCTTTAAAGATGGAGGGAAGAAATCCCCATGGCCTTGAGGAGAGGAGAACAGCCCCTGGCTGACAGGCTAAGAGTGTCCTTTGTCCCAGAATGTTAAGAAACTTTTGAATTCTGTCATAACAGGTAAGACTGCGGCCTGTGACATAGTGATCTTAGCCTTATTGCACGGTGAACTAGAACTTGCCATCTCAAGCCCAACTTCTGACCAACCTGACTCTGACAATACAGAAATCTGAAGCTTCCAACTCTGCTGGTTCCTTACAGCAGCAATAGAACACAACATTTCAAAGGGTCAAGTGCCGTCTGTTAAATATTTATTTATTGATGTTAAGTCCACATTACAATAGCACAACAATCCAAAGTATGATACTACTTTTTTTGTTTTTGTTTTTTTCATAAATACAACATAAAAGGTGGCAAAAGAATGCGAGTTAATCCCAAGCCCAGCAAATTAGCAAAAAAAAAAAAAATCACATTCAGAAAAAATTGGCAATTATGATATGATATAGGCCACAATTCTGCAGTTCTACAACAGAGATAGTTCCATGAGACCCTGCATGGTAATTTAAATCCCCCATTAACAATGTGTACGTGGTCAAAGAGACTTGTACCATGCTGCACAGAACATCTGCCACCCGGTGTTCAAGCCTGCTAAAACTTGTTTGGTTGGTGTTCTTACAAAAGTAGAAAGCTGTACATGTGAAGCAGTAATACAAAATATACGGGGTGGTTACAGATATAAAATTGTTTTAAGAAGTATTATGTATGAATTGAGTAACTGAGCTAAGAAAGTTCAACACCTTTATAAATAATGAACAATAGATATGTTTTGCATGAGGAACAAACACAGTGTTTTCTTTTCATAGCAAAGTACCTTTAAAGCCGCATGTTTTGTACTATCAGGCCAAATTATTTTCTCTCACTTTAAAAATAAAAATTGGTTCCGACTTAAAGTCATCAAGTCTGGTCAGAATCAACTCAGTTTAGCTGATGCAGAATCGTGCATTCCAAAAGCAGTCTTTGCAGCTGGCCTTACAGATATTCAGAGCCTGGGACCCTCCTAAGGCTGGGTTCCATGGAGCCAGAGGGTGACGGGAACTAGCAATTTCCACTCAGCACGTACCTCTAGTGCCAATGGAAAAGAAGTTCACTGTCGCACATACCTGTTTTTGTCTCTCAAGTCTCCTTTTCCCTCAGGCAGACTAGACCCTTCCGGCTACCTCTCTCTCATAAGCCACCCCTGCAACCTCCACCATGTCCAACTTGCTCTACACACTAACAACTACTACACACTTCCGCTATAAGGAAGTCTCTACCACGCATGCGCTCCACACTTCAGCGTACATGGAAGTCTCTACCACGCATGCGCCCCAAACTTCCCGGAGTCCCTCTGGAGTCCTTAAGTGGTTAACGGCAGTGTTTTCTTCACCTATGTTTTTAAGGTTTAGAGGAAAACCAAAGAAGAGCCTGGCCTGACCCTGATGCTTTCTTTCGTCTAAATGGATATGAGATCCCCACGTGGGTAGCAATTCCTTCCATCTTTCTGGGCCTTCCAAACCTGCCTCCTCCAAATGCTACATGCCTTGGTCATGGTTTGGATGCCTCTTGTGGAATGGACTGTAATATATAATCTGCCTTCTCCAGAACACCTTAAGTTTAAGGTAACCTTTAATTCAACACAGATTGTAAGTAAGCTTCCTAGTAAGGTGACTCCTGATATGAATGGAATTTAGGGCAAGGAATTCCTTCTTTCCGATGTAACATAAGCAGTTTGCAAAGCCAATGCATTCCCTCGGATGTCTCCACCCTTCTCCTTCTCATCCCTCCGTATTGCACGTGGTTCACTGGGGCCATCTGTAGACGCTGCGCTTCAACGTCACTGTATCTGTCAAACATTCACACTGCCATGCTATAGCACCTATAGCTTGTATTTAAAGGCACTTGTAGATAAGATAAATTGTGGTTACCTTTGAACAGTTGGTTTCTTTTTGGCATTTTGGCATTTCAGACCATTTTAATCACAGCAGTTCCAAAAGTCTTAACTTGGACAATAAATGTGAATTTTCTGTGCAATGTGTACATTTCTATAAGCAACACCTACTTAGACTCTCTATTAAGTAAGAAAAATATGATTTTGGTGTTTTTTTTTTTCAAATTTCTTAAGTCAAAAGTATACTTCTGCCTTTCACATAATGTGACAGAGGTGTAGGCTGGTCGAAGCAATGGCGTTCAGTTTTCAGCTTCAACAAGGGCATTCCGATCACAGATCTTCACTTTCTACTAAGCCACTGTTGAGTGTCAGGTGAGATGGGCTGGCTTCAGGTTGGAAGGCGGCTTTGATGTCTAGTCCCTGGTCCGAAAGTGCTGCGTAGCGACTGGCCGAGGGCCGGACCTTTTTTGGCTTGGTGGTCTGTGGCTGCTGATGCCACTGGGCTACAGAGAAAGAGAGCAAATGAAGACTTTTAGCAAAGATAAGCTTGGAAATCCCTTAGAGGTTTAAGTAAATTCGGACTGTCTTTTGGACAGAGCCTGGTGGCTTACACCCTACTCTCAGCACTTGGGAGGCTGAGGCAGGAGATTACTGCAAGTTTGAGATCAGCTTGAGTTGCACAGTGAGTTATAGGTCAGCCTGGGTTGCAGAGCAATAGCCTGTCTCTAAAAACAAAAAAGCACGCACGCAAAACCACCTTTGATATATATCAGATACATACAGTTTTTAAAATTTTTACTTTTTACATATGTGAGTGTTTTGCCTGCATGTATGCATGTGCCCTGAGCATACTACTGGTGACTGTATGTGTGTGAATGTCTTGATTGTGTTCCTTTATGTGCACTGAGTATATTCCTGTTGCCTGTGTGTGTATATTTTGGTTTGTGTGTGTGTATGTGTGTGTGTATATATGTTGAGTATATACCTGTTGCCTCTGTGTGTGTATTGCCTATATGTGTGTGCATGGAATATGCTCCTGGTGCCTGGGAAGCCAGGAGAAGGTCCCAGATTATCTTGGTATTAGACAGCTAAGAGCTGCCATGTGGGAGCTGGGAACTGAGCCTGAATCTTCTGCTAGAACAGGAAGTGCTCTTAACTGCTGAGCTATCTCTACAGTGCCCTATATATGTCATCTTTGTCTAAGAATGAACAGCCATGGTAGAGGTGTGGATAATGTAGAAGCACTTCTGCATTTTACTTCCAGGTATCACGAGCCACTATCTGTGGCCGTGGGCAACACAGAAAGTTTTTTGTTCTTCTAGTAACTCCAGCATTGGGAAGTCTCAAAGCAGTTGATAAGCTTCCTATATCCCACCTATATTCCTTTTTCTTTAATAATAATCATAGTTAGGAAGTCTAGATAGATTTTAACATTAATAAACAGAAGAGAACCAGACATCTGGAAAGGTTTCAAAAGACTATTACTTTCTCAAGCAGAGGTAAAATTTGGAATAAAAAAAAAATATTTTCTGGTGGTTTTCCTTATATCAGTGGATCATATGATTCTGTTGTAGTCTTGAAACTGAGTTGGTAGATTTTTCTTTTTTAAATTTAGGATGCATGTATACAAACACATACACACATTCAAGAATCTACTGCTGAGAGCTGCTAAAGATATATTCATGAGAAACGTGCTTAGCTATGTAAGTACACATTCCAGAATCAAGGTACCTATGTTAAGACTAAACCAGGACACAGAAAGGATTATGATTTGGGAAGAAATGGTTAGAGACAGTCACTTGCAGAATACACGAATAAGAAAATGTGAAAGATGCGTATGCCTTTATGTTAACCCCTACAGATGCTGAGGTGAGAAAGGCGAAGCTAACCAGCGAGCCTAAGAAACCAACATGCACATCTTGCTAATCAATCAAAGACCCTGGTGATACTTGGGTGTTTGTTCTCCTGGAGGGGTTTCACTATTAATGTCGGGAAACTATAAACAGAAAGAGAAAAGAGTAATGTGAATTTTTTTTGGCAAATAAAATGCTGGCGTATTAACTTAGAAATATAAAGCTTAGAGTAATGTCATATATCACTCTGACATCTGAATTCTTAATTGTTCAGTGTGTGAAATGCATGGAGATGAAATGAGGCAGCACTCACTATAGACATCCAGCCTGGCAGTACAGGACACAATGCCTGCTTCGTTCTTGGCTGACACGGTATACCACCCAGCGTCTTCTTTTGTGGCTCCCTGAATGAGCAGGCAGATGTAGCCATGATTATCCTGGTGCATGCTGCAGAAAAAGATAAAGTCATTAGGGCTCTAAATTTTTAAAAAGTGGCTTTGGACATGAAGCATCATTTTTAATTAGGTCATTAGAAACGGCATTGTGCTAGCAGCAGATAATACGATCATACTTATTCCAGAGAGGCAGCTAGCCCCATTAAGTTAATGGGAGAGCGGAGCAGACCTTAAGAGGGCAAATAAATCCATGCACTAATTCCTAAAGGAAGACCTGCCTTTACAAAACTACCGACTGGGCTGCCACCATGGGAGCAAATGAATCCATTTTTTCTTTTTGATATACACATTTAAAAAATGCTACTAGGTTAAATCAGAATCAGCTTTGTCACATACCAAAATTGCTCTCTTTCAAAGCTTAAGCCTACATTTGAACAAAGTGTGACTCTTGTCTTGCACATAGGTGGTGATAATGTGGCTTTTACACACTCATCGATTTGCATACAGTATCTGATGTATCTTCTCATCTAGTGCCAGAACTGTGCAAGTTGTGGGGTAGATGAAACCACTGTGCCGTCTTACCTTACTCGCTCAGTGCTGTGAGTGAGCGATTCATTTTCTTTCTTCCAAAATATCTGGGGTGGTGGCACTCCTGAAACACGGCATTCCAGCCGCACTGGGTACCCATCAGCAACTCCCGTGTTCTGCAGCTTCTCAATAAACACAGGGGCCTTGTGTGCTTCTTTAGCTAAGAGAACAGGAGATGAATTATCTGTTAGTGGCGTACAAAAGGGTCATTGCAAGGAACTCAGGAGCTTTGGAAAGATTGAGTAGCTCTTTTATGATACTGTTTTCACATCGGGTGGTAAGAGGTTAGCCCTCCCCTCAAGCAAAGGTCTGTATGCTTCGTTCCACTCACGTTATTTCCTCAATTAATTCAAGACTGATAGGCCCACATAGTGCCCCAGCCATCTGCTCCTCAGAATGCCTGCCTGACAGGCCTCAGAGATTCAGAGTCATCGCTAGCAGCTGCAGCTTTGCTCTAATTAAGTCAGCAGGAGTGCACAGGCCTTACCTACTGGAGCCACCTAGTGGTGCTGAGTATTTCAGACCTAGGAGTCCCTGGTTGCCACCTGGAATGCTTGTTTTGAAGATTTAAAATTTGGAACTCATAATGAGACATACCACAGGATTTAAAGGCTTGGGGAAAATACATACAGGGAAAGGTATGTTTATCTAATTCTAGATAACTATATAGATTCTAGATAGTTCTAGGCAATTCTAGATAATTATAACTTAAAGATGCACAGCCTGTAAATTATAAATTCTAACTTGTATTCTTTGAAAGGAGCCTATAAAGAAGACACCATTATGATTATCTTGTAGAATTTTATTACTTAGTTGTTTTAAAAGTCAAAACTTATTGTTAATGATATTCTGAACATTATCAGCTAATGGGAAACTGATTTCTCAGGTCACAGGTAGAAGCAATTTCAGAGAAAGAATAAGGCTTAATGTCATATGAGCTCCCAACAATGAATCTAATGATACACATCTTCCTGCATGCTAATATGAATCAGGACTCTGCCATCAGACATGAATCAGGACTCTGCCATCAGACATCAGTTTCTGCATTACTAGCTGTGTCACCACTGGCAAATAGATCATAGATGTCCCAGCATCTCAACCAGTGGGGACCATAACATGCCACAACATTTTTAAGGATTAAATTGGAAAAATGCTTAAGAAGTCTTGCCAAGGCAGTATGGTATCACTGGCGAATGACTGGAATATGAGGCTGGTTTTAAACACAGCTAGTAATGCACAAACTAATATCTGATGGCAAAGGCCTTGATCCCTGATAGCACGCACTGCCAGGAGAGCTGAGGCATGCCCAAACATCTGGTTTGTGGATCCTCAAGTCTTATCCTGATGGGCAGATAAGACACATGGGTACATTTAATAAGAGAAAAATGAACATTATCTTTTGAGCTTAGAGAAACAAATGAACCCGAAGCTAGCATGTGGGCAGATAGAGGACTTTGCACAATATTTAAAAGCCTGGTTAAAATGACAGCATCACCCATACATTTACCAAGGTGTTTGGGAAAAACACATTGGTTCTGTTATTAGAATCATCACCCTGGATTTTATAGCCAAGATCTCCCTGGCTTTCCTCTCATTGGCACTCGATTGAAGAAACTGAGTAATTCATGGAGCGTTTGCAAGAGGCTGTCTTGAGCCCAATTCTGGCTTACTAAGGAGGACCCCAGGGACCCTAGATTATCTCACAGGGCCAATGAGAGGCCTAGCCAAGATAATGCATATGATGTGTACTTCCAGTCAAGCTGTAAGGAATAGACACTACGCTTTGGCAAGCTTTGTGATAGCAAGAGGTCAGACCATCAGAATTCTTCCCTACTCCAAGAAGTGGGATAAACCTTTCCATGTGTGTCTTTTCATTCAAGGTTTCTCAAAGAGTCTAGCTTCCCGTAATAACATAACACAGCTTACTCACAGTATTGCTTAGAAGGCAGACAAGTTTAATTTGATGCTGATTTGTGTATAGATGTGACATTATTTAAAGTCTTTGAATTCTGAAACGGCTATCTTGTCTGTTAAAAACAGTCCTTTGGACTCTGTATTGAAAGTTCTTGAAGCCTGTGTGTCAGTGACTCTTTGCCTGTGGAACACTAGGCCTGCCATAGTCATGCAAAGGTGAGCTGCCCAAATCCATTCTTTGCCAGGTCATGAGAGAAAGAAAAGATAAGTAATAACGGCTGTGCCGAAGTAAGAAAAACAAATGCTTCTGAACTGCTAAGTGTCACACGTGCTACCGTTGTGCTCAGTGACACAGTCTGCTCTGTCACCATTTGGAGTTATTTTCTGCACTATTTAATGACGTAGAATTTGTTTCTGTGTCATCTAACAAGGAGAAAGGAATCACAGGCCACCTACCAGCAACCACAAGCTCCAGGTTAAATGAGTTCTGTCCTGCTCTGTTGGTGGCGATGCATGTGTAGATGCCAGCGTCCCGGGACGTGACTGGCTCTATAATGAGGGAGTGTACCCCGTTCTCACGGACCAGCATCTTGTGAGCGCTGTCGGGGCGTATGGGTTTTCCGTCTAGCTGCCAGCTGAGATCTGGGGTTGGTAATCCACTGACCTAAAGCAGAAAGGAGAGACACATGAATTTCTCTAATAGTAAAACAATCAAACCACCAAGAGTTATGGATCCAGCGACAGTTCGACCTTCGGTAGCACAAACGATGGCTTTTTCATGTTACTCTCTTGTTTAAAATCTCCTCGTGGTTTCCATAAACACTCAGGGGTTCACTTCTAAACACCTCTCGTAGAACCATCCAGAGATAAGTAAAACAGGGATTTAAACATATTTCTGTCATCTTCTTACCTCACCCAAGACTGAAAACATTCCCAAGTGGCTGGGCTCTGAGTTCTTTGGAAACATGGGAGGTACAACTTTTATAACAATGACATTCAGCTGGGAAGCTTCCTATCAAGGCGTGGACATCACCATGGAGATGTTAGCCAATGCGTTCATTAGTACACAGACCTATTATTATTTTATAATCCTCAAAAGTGAATAACAAGAGCAATTTGAAATTACACAGAAAGTCAGACAAATTACCATCACAATGGAGACATCCTGAAATTTTAAGAGCATGGCAGTTGCATTGAACAGAGAGCAGATAAAAACACATTCAATTGCTAGTATCACGCTGCACTGCTAAAGGGAGGGACAGTGGCCATCCGCTGGCTTTTTATAGGGCTGCCCTTGATTTTAGAGTGGAAGAGAAGGAAAACTTTTGATGTCCCTCCTTCCTCCACCTTTACTAGTGGGAAATGATATATTCTGCTACCCAAAGATTATTGGATCATAAAAGAATCTAAAACTACAGGATTATAAAACAGTTCCTTTGAAGCACTAGCGTTGTCCAAATTAGCCAGGGAACCCATACAGTTCATCCTGCCTCATGGTAAGTGTTCATTCCTACCACCAACAAGGTATCTCGGACACGTGGAGTCACATCTGGGGAACGTAAGGAAAAAAGTACAATTAAATCATGGGCTAAAGGAATGGGACTTGGAAAGAACAGTAGTTAGGAAGTGGTTTCTGAGGTGGAGTGGTGTGCACCTCCAGCTCTCCACATGTACCCTCTGCCTGTGGGGAAGACACTAGAAGTGGTATATAAGTATCAGAGTAGATAGTCCTGACTGGGCTCCAGGTCCTGGGGAGTTCACAGCTTGTTCCCACTTTTCCAGGTTTGTTAAGGGACAAACAAGATCTGCAGCCCTAGTGCAGGAAAGCATCAACTGGGTCCTTGCAAAGCAAGAAGTTCTCGGAAGAGCTGTTCCATTGGGCAGCGTTACACAAGCAAAGGGAGCATGCCCTGTTGTCCTCACCCCAGCTCTTCCAGTGAGTCTGTGAGGAGCATGGTATTAGGAACTGAAGGTCACCACAAGTTGGCCACAGTCGAGCAGCCCATGCTCTTGATTCATGAGCAGATGCAGAGAGAAGAGCACACTTGTCAATTACCACACGTGTGAAGGCTTCCCACTGTGCAGGGTTACTGCAGAGGGAAGGACAGTGCTGGGGATGGCCTGCATGGGCTGTGGCTGGAGGGGCTCTGTTCAGTGTTTGACTTATTATGACCTTTTCCTCTTTCAAATCTTAAATATATTGAAATTTTCCTTTGAAGTAGATAGCAGTATGCAATGTTTATTTGTCAGGACACTTGTCTTCTTCCTTCCTTCCTTCCTTTCTTTCTTTCTTCCTTCCTTCCTTCCTTTCTTTCTTTCTTTCTTTCTTTCTTTCTTTCTTTCTTTCTTTCTTTCTTTCTTTCTCCTCCTCCTCCTCCTCCTCCTCCTCCTCCTCCTCCTCCTCCTCCTCCTCCTC